CCCCACCACAGAGTGGCCTCAGAAGCTCACAGCAACCTGTGTGAGTTTGTCCGGTACCATGGCTGTGCCCACACAGCACCACTGAGTGCTGGCCCATACGCCTCTTCACAGCTAGTGTCCCCTCACCACACCATCTGACATGGGTAACCTCAAATCCGAATGTTAACCTGAAAGTCCTCCGAGATTTTTAGACCTCCTGCTTTCTCCTCTCCACCTCCCACCAGACGCAGTGGACCTTGGATCAGACCCCAGGGGGCCTGGTAGGAGCAGGGCATATTTATTCCCACTCTTCTAAAGAGGCTCTTGGTGTCTCCTCAGAGTGACCTGCCAGCAATAAAAGAGAAGTTCCAGCAAAAGTACAAGAAGTCATTAGCTGAAGCTGTCCGATCTGATACCTCTGGGGACTTCAGAAGGTTGCTGCTGGCTCTTTTGCAGTAAAAAGCCATCAAGAACGAAGAGGCATGCTGAGCAGCCACCTCTTGATTAGTTTCCAAAATAGCATCCAAAAAATGTGGCATTAGCACAAAGAAAAAAATCCAATTTATTTTCTTTCCAGCTGGGAAATATGTTGCCAAGTAATGCTGGACGTGAGGTTTATGTTATGGCTATCTCGCCAAATGTCCTTAAGCAATAAAGACATGTTAAAAAAAACCTAAATCTAAATTGACCTCTTTGTGTTTGCATATGTGGAGGAATCTTCTGTCATTGTTTCTTCTGGGTAGATTTTCTGTCTTTCTCTCATTCTGAAGATTATCCCTGTTCTTTCCCCAATTCGATGGGTGCCATGTCATGCCGTTACAGTCCTGCCAAGAGAAAATGGATTGTAATTTCTTCTCAGCCCATTATCACAGCTCTTTAAACAACCTGAGGGTTGTGAATTGATGATTTAAGTCAGGCCCTGATTAAAATCCTGCTATTGACGGGCAAGGTCAGAGAGTCATTTCCCTGTCTGTGAGTTGCCCTCTCAGCATAGTCACCTCCTAAATTGTCCCATGAAGGAGATACGGACTTGCAGTCCCCATTGGCACCACCTCCTGGGATATGGTGCAGGAGCACAGCTGGGGAAGAGATGGTGCCTTGTCAGGTGGATCTGTCGGGCAGGGGAATGCTGGTCCTGCAGAGGCAGACATGGGCCTTGGGACAGCTTGCATGGTCTCCATCCTTGGAGGTTTCCAAGAGCTGACTGGATAAAACCCTGAGCAACCTGGTCTGATCTCGCGGCTCACCCTGCTTTGGGCAGAGGTTGAACTAGAGACTACCAGAGGTCCCTTCCTCCCTGGATTATCCTAAAATCCTATAATCATATGAGAGAAGACATAGATGAAAAATAACATGGGAGGGCCTGACAAATAAGAAGCGGGAGAGCAGAGTCTGGGTCAAGGAGATGGGCTTGTGAGCATCTCTCTGTGTCTGGCCCCCTCCCCTTTTTGAGTGTACCACTCTGCAAGGGGAAAGGCCTTCAGACCTAGATCCTCCATGGTATGATGGCTGATGGCCATCTAACTCCCATTGAAAACACCATTTCTGGAGCACCAGACCTGTTTCTCCCTGCTTGTATCAGTCACGGCACGGTGTGCGTGGCTGTCTGGTTATAGTCTGTAAAGGTGGAGCAAAATAAGTGGGAGATGGGAAAGATGGAGGGATTTTAAGCACGATGATCTGTGTGCCACACAGGTGTAACAGGACAGTCCAGCATTTTAAAGGCCAGATCCTCCTTTGGCAACATTTCTAGCAACCTAAAAACATCGGAGGCAGATCCTGAACCTGAAATGAACCATCTGATTCCAGATTCGCCTTTATCAAAGGCATTTTAATGTACAGACCCAGAAAAAGCAGAGCAGTGCAGGATCTGGTATCTTCTTGCCACTGTTGCCATGGGGCTCTTGTAACCAGAGACTATAGAAAGGACAGATGAATAATCTACTTAGGTGTCCAGTGTTCCTGGTGATATTTTATCCTCCAGAGGTCACGCTGTGTGCTTAGTCCAAGATAAGCTGGCAGGTACCCATTCTCAAATGATGTAGTTTGAAGAAAAAGCCAGCGGGTGTCTGAAACACACATGAAGGAGCTGGTTTAGGCAAAGGATTTGTTTTAAAATATTCCAGAAACAGTTCCCAAAGCTATATGAATGGTTTCTGTGAAACCTCTAGAAGCTCAGCACACTTTAAACCCAGCTATGTCCTTATTTAATGTGAAGCGCGTAACTTTGGCAGCCAAATTTATTTTTGCCTGAAGACTGTTTTAATTAACGCTAGTAGGTCATTCTGACTAAAGAAGGAAGAGTACAATTGCTTTCATCTTAATCTTTCACTCTTTAATTAGAGATTGGCCTGAAACCAAGCCAGGAGCCCACACATCTTCACACCCACACATACTGGGCCAAAGTAATTACTGAATTACATGCTCTATCCCTCTATCTCTGCACAATACATTCAGTGGCAGCGGTGACACTTGTGAAGTTGCTCTGTGTCTCCAATGCTGTAAGGGTAAAACTTGTCCCTATGCCTCTAGATCAAAAGTTTAGGTCAAGGGTTCAAAATTCATGTTCAGATTTCAAGACCATCTACAGATGTAGTCTGTTACCTCGCCTACAAAATCAGAACAAAACCCAGATTTGATCAGGTCTTAAACTAAGCCTTCGTTCAGAATTAATATCATACTGATGTGAACGACAGCTGTAGCGATAGGGCACTCAGGGAATCATGATTGCTGAAGAGCTAAATAGAAAATGAGTAATGCAATAGTTACAGAGGAATGAGAGAAAAGGATCATAAGAGTATCTGTACTTAAAGAATAGGAAGACAACCAGATATGTGGCAATTAGTAGCAGCAGAAGGAAGTTAACAGATTTCTCTGTGGCCAAGAGGCAGCATTCACAAGTTGCAGCAAAGGAAATTCCTACTGGACATAGAGAAAAAAATCCTCACTGGGAGAGTGGCCTGGAGCTGGAGCAGGTTGTCCAGAGAGGTTGTGAAATCTCCATCTTTCAAGATTTCAAAAATTCAACTGGACAAGACCCTGAGCAACCTGATCTAACCCTGAAGTTAGCCCTGCTGTGAGCAGGAGGTTGCCCTAGGTGAGCTCCTAGGGGCGCCCCAACCCAACCTTCCCATGACTCTAGGAGAATTAGGTAGCTTGTGAGCAGGGGACCACACCTGGCAGTGCCATGTGGAATAGTCATTGTATTTCTGTTGCTTGAAGGATTTAATCTTATTGTCACATACAATTGTCCATCAATTCCCCGCATTCACACTGGATTGTGTTTACTTTTCAATGTCTTCTCTGCTACTTTTTAGCTTGGGGAGTTCCATTGCCTTCACTGAACCTGAGATGTCAACCAGGGAGTTAGAGGACAGGGTCAAAGGGCTGTTTTCCCAATCCAGTGAAGCAAATAGTAAATCCACACTGGGCTCCAGCTGAGCACAGACAGCACTCAGGGAGGCTGCTTCAGTGGGGAGTATCAGGATGAGTCCAAACCTGGGTGCTGGGTGTGGGGAAACATTTCCTTCGGTCTGACCCAGACATCGCACACGGACTTAGTTATCCTGATGGTGTTATCAGCTGGGTGAGAAGCAGACATGTGTTGAGTAGAAAGGTCCCTGTCCATGCTTTCTCTTGATAGTAATTTGCTAGTATAGACATATCTTTGCTCTTTTAACACACATATTCATTATATACATTTACAGGCATGTGTAAATATGTGATACATAAATCTAATAATTCCCCAACACATTCGTCTTCCCTTCTGCTCCTGTTTTTGTCTCCTCTCCAGCTTATAATATGTAAAATGGTGTCAGGTGCCCATCTTACCCTGGTCAGTGCCCACTGACTGAGCTCCACGCTGCCAGGGCACGCAGCATCCCGGGTGGTGCTGGCTGCTCTCCCAGCCTGGCCTGAAGGCTGTCGCCCCAGCCAGCCACCACTGCTGCTTGCGGCATCTTCCCATCCTCTCCAACTCATGGCACCCGATTAATTGAGGTCCCTGTAATTGTCTCTTTTTACAACGAGGAATTTTAATCCTGGGGTTTGTTCCATCTCCCAGTTTTATAATGACCATAATAAGGAATATTTTTTCTTGTCCCCCTGTCTATTTAGGCTGCAAATTTGGAGAAAAGGATGATCTCTCTCTTGATGACTGTGGGGGCTGGTAGTCATCAAGGCAGCACATGTAGCACTGAATAAGCTCAGTGAAGTCTCTGCCTTGAACAGTCCTTTCTCCTTCTCCATATTTGTTCATTTTCACCTGAATTGTAATGGGATCAGTGTATGAATTTTAGAAGTTGTCTGACATCACCAATCCTCTCTGTGCACCTGTCTGCTGGCCGATTAGATTACAGCTTTTTTCCGCTCTGTTGCTTAGTGCATGATAATAGACATTTCATCATGCCATTACATTAAAACTTAAGAAGAGCTGCTCTGGGTCAGACCAAAAGTTCAACCATCCTAATTCCAAAACTGAGCGATCCCACAGACTTAAGAAGCGAGAGCAGAAGGGGCAGGGTGAGTACACAGCATTGTGGCAAAGTGGTCGTTCTTTGGTAGACATTTCCATTTTCTAGAAACGGGCCATCAATGTAGTTCATTCAGCAGCAGTTGCAGCTGGTTGCTGTTTTTAACAGCCCCCAATTGCTCCAGCCTCCCTCAAGGGCTATGGGGGACCTGCAGCATCACGTCCTGCATGGCTGCTGGGCCACATCACCTGTGAACGAGCCCACTTTCCCACTCGTGCGTGGTGTTCAGACCAGCCCATCATAGAATCATAGAATCGTCTAGGTCGGAAAAGACCTTTAAGATCATCAAGTCCAAGCGTTAACCTAACCCTGCCATCCCACCACTAAACCATGTCCCTAAGCACCTCGCCTATCCTTCTTTTAAATACCTTCAGGGATGGGGACTCGACCACCTCCCTGGGCAGCCCATTCCAGAGCCTGAAGTCATCCGCGCAACAGCCCACTCCCATGGTTAGTGCAGTACCCTGTCCTCCCAAAAGAGACTGCTCAGGCCTGTTTCGGTCAGTAGCGTGCCACCCCAGGAAATCCGCCTCAAGAACTCATTCAGAAACAGACTGTCTCAGGCCAGTAACACCGTCCCGCAGAAGAAACAGCTCTTCCCTCTCACCAGGGTCATGCTGCAGCAATAGGGGCCATATAGGACACGCTGTTCTAGGATATGCCATGAAAAAAAATGATTTCTAGTTTATTTATAAAAGAAATCCTAAGCAGTACTGATGTGCCCACTTGGTTGGAGATGTGTCTGAAACCATAATCTCTGGGAAAGAAAGAAGGGAGAGTGGTAAAACAGGCAGCAGGATCTTCATTGCTTGGGAGCCTCGGCCCCAAATTGGCAGGGACTTATGTGGGGACTCAGCAGGGAGCAGCAACCCCCCCGAGAGCAATAAGCTATTTAAACAGCACACACTGTCCTCTGGGTTAGCAGGA